TGATGCCCCGACTTGAGCGTACCAATATCACCTTGATTGGATGTCTGCCGTTTGTCAGGGCCACCGCAGCCATTCCACCTGTAGTCGGACATATCGTACCGTACAGCACATCACCGCAGTCAAATCACAACTGACAGGCGAGGAGAAGAAATTGATCGACGACACCAAAGGCGAGATTTGGCGGAACGCTCCGAATCGCTGCGTCTTTGCTGATCTCCCCCCAACCCCAACCGACTTCACCGTTATTATTGCCTGTGCTGTAAGACAGCTGAGGCTGACGGTGTCACCCCACGAATAGGTAATTAGAAGAATTAGACCAGAGGGGGCGCCCAACCGTCTCCTTGCTGCAACACGACTCAGAAAACAAACCGTCGCTTGCTGGTGGCGCTCGCCAATTTCAATCTTGAGACGGTTCAAAACCAAATCTGCTGAAACAAGTCTTGCTTCCAAACATCAAGTCTTTTTCTGCTGCCCGTTTGCTAGTACGGTAGAGGATGTGGCGGTCGAGCTGCTCTCCCTAGAAGCCGAGCTAGACTGGGGTTTGGACATGGGGCACTCCTTTTTTCCGCACGGGGTTGCAAGGGAGAGAAATTTTGTGTAAACGACGTGCTCCACTCAACACGAGCATGAACGCCCACGAGCTGTCATTACAAGCTGGACCAAAGTTCTCCGTTTCTTGTCCAGAGAAAGCCAAGCATGAAAAAGCTAGGCTCAATCCAGTCTCGAGCAGCGAATTGTTGCCTGGCACCAACCCTGACGATGCCGTCTGTGCTTTGCAAGGAGTGCATGTTCAGCAAGGGAGTGCTTGTCCGTAATCCAGTGAGAGTCTGGCGGGTTCTGGAAGAGACATGCCGTCTTACTCCGTGCTCCATCCCCATCTCCATGCTCTGTGCTCAGCAAAATCTCCAAATCTCGCTCATCGCCGCGATATCATCAGCTCCGCCAGCAGCTGCCGCCGATGGCTTTGCCAAGGTAGGGGAACAGTGATGAGATGTGATTTCTTCTAGGTCTCTTATACTTGCAGTATCCCGGTCTCCAATAAAAGTGGCATCATGCGAGATTTCATCTACTCGTCTCTTGTGCTGCGGTGCAATCAAATCGCTTGCATTCTTGGCATTGAGGTGATCCATCAAACTCCAGTACGATTGATCTTTTGGACCAGATGCTCAAATCATCAAGCCAAGAGAATTGGTTTCTTCAACCTGCTTTGCATAATACTGTATGGTTTCATATATTGCCCTGCGTTGATAGTTATGTGACGCCTTTTCATCGGAAGAAGATTTGCAAATCCCAGGCTTTGCTTTTTAATTTACATTGGTATACAACAGTTTGATTGCGTTCGCGTTGGTCATAATGGCGTGCTTGCTTCAAAGGCCTTTCAGAGATCCTTTTCTCGATGGCCAACCACTCTTGCAAAAGAATCAAACGACATAGTCATAGAATGCCGACCTGCAGTCTTGCTTCGTAGATGCTCGTCGTAGTTCAGCATCTCCTTGTAGGGGACTTTTGCCACTATCTCGACCATGCGAGCAGTGGACTTTTTGCCTCTTAGCGAGGTGATCGAGTCATAGGGATCAGGCGGCGCGTAAATCTTGGAGATATCAATCAACTCGTCGCTAGCAGACTCTGCAGAACGATCGTTGACTTCGAGGACATGACCACCCGCACCAGCCGTTATGTCATGTTGGACTGTTCCAGCGGCCGCTTCTGGGCAGGTAATGTGCGTCAACATGATGGGCTCCAAAATTCCAACCTGATTTTTATCGAACGCATCTCTGAGAGCTGCTTGGACGGCAGATTTGGCCGCACTGCTGAAATGGCCTCCAGTTGGTGTCTCTAGCGCATCGCGAGAGGTGTCAAGAGTGATGTGGACTTGGCAGCCGTGTATCGGCGACGCACGACGAGGCCCCCTGGCCAACCCAGCTATGGCTCCGTTGAAGAGCTGTTGGCGTGCCTCATCCACATCAACCAGCAAGGCGGTGGCTTCGCCCTCCATGGGAATATCTATCTGGACAATGTTGCCGTCTTTTTCAAGGCCGGCTTCCATCAGATCTTCCTGTTCCCCAGCTTCTATCGGTCTGAGAGTGGCCGTGCAGGTAACCTTGCCTGATTTACCCGCAACTGGACGGTCAAAAACTGCATGCTGAGGAGAGGTCATGGTAGTAACACATTCTTTGTAGTCGACCTCGATAGGACCAAACTCGGCATCTATCTTATGCTTCTGCCTCATATTGTAGAGTGACACATCCAGGTGGAGCTTACCCATACCCTGGATGGTAAATTGGTCAGTCTTTGGATTTCTACTCCACCGAAGGCTTGGGTCTTCTCGAGATGCGCTCTCCAGAGCGACCTCTAATTGTTGTGCTGCCACATTCCCATATGGATCGACCTGTAAAAAGGCAACGGGTGGAGGAATCTCTGGAGGTCTGATCTGGATATGTCGTAAATGTTCAGGGACAGTTTTGCCACTCGCCATGGTGATCAAAGTATCTCCTGTGCGAGCTTTTTTGAGTCCTCTCAGGGCTCCAATTTGACCAACAGAAAGCTCTTGAATGTCTTCAGTCTTGGACGCAGATATTTGCAAGATGCCCATTGGTCGTTCCTGTATAAGCATATGTGTGTTGAAGCTTGGAGCATTGCGAGTAAGAGTTCCATGATAAACTCTCACAAAACTGATGACGCCCTCCTTTGGGTGGTCGAATACTTTGAAGACAGATGCCACTGAGCTAACATTGGCGTCCACTGTGTTCTTGCCTTTTCCTTTCAGTGCTTCGCGAAGCTCGCTCTTTATACTCCCAACCCTGACCTCAGCATCTGGGCGTTCCGCTGGATTAGGAAGATAGTCCGCGATGGCATCCATGAGCGGCTCAACTCCAATATGACGAAAGCTCGAGCCAGCGAATACGGGTATGACACGGCCGTCGCCGCTTTGAATGCTTCTCCTTATGGCCTGCTTCAGTAAGGAAGCGGGAATATTTTCGTTCTCAGCCAAAAATTCATCCATCACGGCCTCGTCAAAATCTGCAAGGCCCTCGATCAGACGCTGTCGTGCTACTTTTATCTCGGCCAATAACGATTGGTTTGAAGTTGACAGTAACTCTTCGAGCTCGTCGGGTTCATATCGAGTCTTTTGCCTTTCGGTCTTCCACCTGTACCCTACCCCATCGATGATATCTATCACTCCAACAAAGTCCTCCTTTTCCCACCACGGAATTTGGCAGACTAATGGCCATCCTTTGAGTCGAGAGCCAATTTCCAAGACGGATTTTCTGAATGACGCACCCTCACGGTCCAGCTTGTTACAGTAAACAATTCGCGGAACCTTGAACTCCTGAGCAGAGGCCCAAACTCGTTCTGTGTGTGCCTCTACACCCTTGACAGAATCGATGATACAGACGGCTCCATCAAGGATTGGTAAACATCGATCAACTTCAAACCTAAAATCCTGGTGACCAGGAGTATCAATGAGATTGATGGTCTTTGGGGCAGTTCCAGGAGGGCAATCCTGCTGCAGCGGCCAGTGAAACGTTATCGCCGCTGATTGGATGGTGATTCCACGCTCCCGCTCAAGCTCAAGGAAATCGGTCACAGTGTTACCGGAATCCACATCTAAGACTGTCAGTTGGGTCATTTCAGCTTTGGGCATGTATTATACATACCTCCTACTCGCTGGGTCACGCCACTATAGTAGAGCATGCGCTCGGTTGTCGTTGTTTTGCCCTATACGATGGGTAAGCGTCGAGGCTAGGATGGGCTGAGTACATAAAGCCTTAAGTCTTACAGCGTCGACGTGGGCGATGATACCGATATTTCGAGTATTTTCAAGCATTGAGCTTATGCTTCTTGCGCCATTACTACTCTGGTAGACAAATTTCTTGAAAGGGGACAAATCCGTCGCGACTCTATAACCTGATCTGGTGAGGCGGCCGGATTGCCTCACCGAGGCTTGACGACAGAGCACCAGGGCAATCATGGCGATTCAATGTCGGAATATGGCACTGCAAGAAATGGCAGTAATGGCAATTACACCTCAAACATCAGGACGACACCCTCAGCACTCAAATATTGAGCGAGTCTTGAGGAACGTGCAAGCTGTTTGAATGTCAATTTTAACTTTAAGAATTCTCGAAGCTCGGCCTGAAATTCTAGGTCTTCATTCTAGCAAGAGGTCCTTCTCAATTGATTCATTCATCTCAGCGGGGCTTGGAGGGGCTGCGCGTGCATGCATGAACGTAACCCAAGATATGCATATACAAGGTAAGCCTCTATGCTTAAATCGAGTGGAATTTTATTGAGTTGTTCTGGTTGAGTATGAGAAAAGCAATTTATTGTTGAGCGTGAATTCAAGTCTTAGAGGTATATAGAGATAATTATTCTTTACATTTGTCACATTTCTTCAGAATATAATGTTGGCTTTTACGTACCAAATGCAACATACAACCTCTCTCCAGTCAATATGAGGTTACAAGGGCCCAGCTTAGGCATTCGACCAAACTTCATCAGGGCACAAAACATTTTACACATGCACCAGTAATATTTCTATAGATAATAAATATGGAAGCCAAGACTATTTGGCTACTAGTTCCTGTGAAATATAGTCATATAAATAGATGGGCTGTGCCAGGGGTTCAAAAATATGAATGAGAAATGGCGACTCTAGGTTAAGGCTGCATGTATCGCTACTACGTACAGCTGCAAAATAACTGCCTACCTCTAGGTAGTTTACTTCTAGGGCTGTTAGTGTGAGCGAGGGCGATGTGATCTCAACTGGTCTATTCTATTACTGTCATACATGCTATTACTTGTATTTACTTTCTTCATCGTCTTATTATACAAGATTTTTGGTGAATGGGAAGATCATCTAGTACCATCCAATTCTGCGGGGTGTTGGCAGGTTGCGCTCAGTAAGAGACTTATAGGACACTAACTGCAGGCACCAAACGCTAAACTATCAACCATCTCCAACTTTCTGAATTACACATGCCAAACCTCAAGCAGCCATGACAAGAAAATTGCCTTGGAAAAGAGATTCTGAGTCCTCATCAAGCAATAGCGCAAGAAATACAAAAGCCCAAAGCCCCAAGTTACCTCCTGCGCGGAAATATGAGAATCAGGATGTTTTACGAACGCCCGTGTCACGCAGACATGTTCGGCGCGTTTTGGATTCCGGTACGAAGAGGAAGATAAATCTCATCCCATCTCACCCAGATAAAGAAAACAATCATTGGAATTGGTGGTTTTGTCAACTGACAGTTATTATTTCAGACCCTATCCGAAGTCCATCTACTTCGCCTCCACCAGAGAGGCCTCATGAAGAGTACATTTGCACCACCTTGATGATCTTGATGATTGCATAGTTCAAACATCGGTTCAACATGCACACACATCTCTTGTCCATAGGTACTCAACTAACAAATTCCCTTCATCTCAGGTTCATGATTCCAGGACCGCTCAATGACGACAAATTCAGAATGGTCGATGATGAGTTTCTGCACATGGCCCAGCGCTTCACCGCGCACCTTCACCGAGCAGAATACGATCGCCTCAAGGCCCTCGCCAAGGCCCAAAACGCGGCTACTATCAGCGAGATTGAGCGTCCCGTCGTGGCAAGTGCGGTGCCGACAGCCAGGGCACGACAGAGGAGTGAAGCAGCTCAGAATTCTATGAAGCGGCGTAAAGCGCTGGAAGCTGAGAGTGGTGATGATGGTGATGACCACAAAGCAAAGGAGGATGAACAAAGGTCGCCGTGGGCGACGGGTCTACGAGGATTGATGGAGGCGCCGAGACGAGAGGGAAGGACAATTATACCTGCGGCGAATGCTTCATCTTCTTCCTCTAGGACGAGAGCGGCCGCTGGGTATTCAAGCAAGTCGTCACCACAGCAAGACCATCGAAGCCGTGAAAAATCACCGTCATTGCCACCATTGGTGTCATCATCTAAGAGGGTCAAGCTCGACTTGCCCGCCAATCCAAAATCAACTACTACACAGAGTAGAAACATCTCCCAGCATCCTCGTACCTCCAACTCAAACCCTCAAGATATATCTTCACGCGCCACAGAACTTCCCAAGGGAATTCCTCGTCCAGATTCTTCTCGAACCAAAGCCGACAATCAGCCACCCAGTGTCTACAATGTGGATGACGACTTGGATGATGATCTGTTTGGCTTGCACGAGCGTAGGATGAGCAGGAAGAAATCCCGAGAGCAGTCCAGACGACCGGGTACAAAGAGTGAAGTCAAAGACGAATCAAAGACGATCGATTTGAGCTCTATCCCTACATTCTTATAGACATCTAGCCCCAGCACTGGACACATCGTTTACTCATAAAAAATTACGGGAGATCACAGCGGAATCATATTACTGCTTCGGGCACATGCGCACTTTTCATTGAGAGCCAAACGTGACGTCGTTAATCTCATTGCGGTAAGTTTCATAAGCCCCTACACTACTCTAATTATCCTGCATTGTGAGCTCATCAAAGTCATCTAGCAGCTCGTCCATATTCACCCCTGGCACGCCATCGTCTCCATCCTCGTCCGTCTCCGCTATGCTCATCTCATCCTCGTTTGCCTGCTTGGGATTCTTGTAAAGCGCCAAAGCCGCACGCAGCTCTTCATCTTCCTCGACATCACGCAAGAACATCTCGTACTCCTTATCCATACGCTCCTGGTCTGCCTTCTTTGGCAGGAGCTCACCCTCATCCTTATCCATGCGCTTGAGCTTCCAGTTGCGGCGACGGTTCCTCCTGCGGTTGGGGTAGTGTTTCTTCACCAACACCACATCAGGGACGATTGATGAGTATGTGTTGGAGTCCTCTATCGCATCAAATTCGGGATTGTTGAAGTTGGTGCCGCTCAACATATAGCCCATCGCTGAGTCACCTGGCTGTAACAGGTTTCCCAGATGTGTTCTGGTAAAGTATGTCCTATCATTGACACCCAGATCGGAAGCACGAGCAACCGTTGCCTCGGCAAGCACCCACTTGCCCTTTCGAGTAGGGGTAGGCTCAATATCCATGACGATGAACTCGACCAACTCCATGGCGTCGGCGAGAGCTGTAAATGGGGCGCGCCAGTAAATGGACGCACTTACTTCCGCTGTTTGGAGGGTCTGAGGGTCCATGAGGTAGACCGCTGTACCAATCTTGTGGCAAAGGACGAGGGGTGAGATGTTGCTAGCCTGTTTCGCAAGCTTTATGGGCAGCGCAACCAGGTCATCTCTGCATACGGGGACAATTTCGGCGGAAAATGTGAATTTGTATGATTTTTTTGACGTATGGGTATCCATAGAGATCAGCTCTTGTGAAGACTTGACTTTGACGGGAACGACTGAGTTGAGGAAGTCGACAAACTTCTCCGCCTGATTTCGCACGGAAAAGAAGAAATCGATGCCATCCTTGGCTTCCTTAATGTTGAGGGTCTCTTTGTGCGCGCCATGCTTCAAGATAAGCTGCTCCAGGAAGTGGAACGTCCTCTTGTGCAAGACCTTCTGTCGGACTTGGACGCAAGCTCTCCAGTGGTTGGGGGTGAAACTCTTCTGGCACTCGGGACACTGTTGAGTCGCCACAACATATACGACCTCGAAGCTCTGCTGCAGCAGTACTCCCTGCTGGACGGAATCTTGGACGGTCAACTTGACCTTGACTCTTCGGGAATGGGGCTCGGTCCAGATGAAGCTCGCATCGACGATTCGCACTTTATTCAGGCCCCTCAGCTTCTTGAGGCAGAGAGCTAGGAGTTCGCGGGACTCAGGCATGGCGGCGATCCAACTTGAGGGTGGCAGGAGCCATCTCTCGCAGTCTCTGCATTGCTGGATGGTGGCCTCTCGCTGGATTCCCTGGGAAATGTCGTTGGTCAACTTGATACAGTCGTAGCAGGCAGCGCCTGTAGCTGTTGTTCCGTCGATCGGGGCGCCGCAGTTGTGACAGAGGATTCTGTGTTGGATATTGTCAGTCTATGCAGTCATTCATGGATGTTTGTGGAGGGGCAGCCGCAAAGAAGAAAATTGAAGTAGAATAGCAACATTCTTCCGACTAGAAAAAAGCTGAGAAACTGGGAGAAAATCACTTACGTTGCCGCCGTCGCCTGCTGCGATATAGGTGCAATAGAAATGGCGTCATCAAGATCCATAGACATTTTGCTTGATATTGCCGATGGTGATGTTGGTATGTGTTATGGTAGATGATTTTATCAGAATGGGGTCCCTCTGATACAATATCTACGAGGAAGTCGAAAAATATTTTGCCCCGCTGCTTGATAAGCGGTCTTCCATGAGCTTATCGCTAGATTTGCCGTCGCAGAATTTATTGCCTTATCCGTAGTAGCGGCGTGAAAATATGTGCGACATATGAGTCAGTCGCGTGGGCATGCAACTAAACCGGTAACAGGATGACGGACATCAGGGCCTCTTTGATAATTGTTCCAATTCAGTTTCAATGCCCTAGATTAGGCAGACGCATGTAGTAACAAGTAATTATACAAAAAGAAAAAAAAAAAAAAAAAAAAAAAATTAAAAAATCTTGCTCAACACTCTGCTCACACGCTCTGGCACACGCTCTGGTTGCTCGCTGGTATCTCCGCCCTTGTTGATCTTGGAAATCTGCTTAAATGTCCGTACGCTCTCCCTTGGTTCCTCATTTTCTGCTGCATCGCTCGCCTTCCTCTTCTTCGCCTTTGCCTTTGCTTCCATGCCGTCCAGCATCTTGGCTCTCTCCACATTGCGGACGAACAGCTTGTTCTCCCGCGTCGTCTTGCTAATTTCAGCCCTCATGCGACTCGACCTCTCAGCATCCTCGGCGGCAATCTGCTCCGTCAGATTGTGCCATTTGAAACCATTGAGATACAACAGGTTCCATATATCGTCGTGGTAGTAGCTCCCTTTCTTTCCACCGATTGGCCGTGCGTTTAGAAGCTCACACACAGCCTTTGCATCCTTCTTCTTGATAAACTCGACCCAGCCCTCGGTAAAAGTCTTTTTCTTGTTGCCGCCTCCTTTGACGCGCCTTGCTCGTGCGACTGGATCTTCGGGGGCGAGGAATATCCTGTTGATTTCTCCGTATGGAGCAAGAAGTGAACGTAGTTTATTAGGCTTCATGAATGGTGGCACACGTGAAATGTAGACCACGCCGGATTTTTTGATGGCTTCCTCTGTCGCAACAAGGTTCTTCTTCGTCAAGGGTCGGGCAACACCAGGCAAATCTTTGGTTCTTAGCTTCTTGGCTTTCTTCTTGCCGCTATCGGCGCCAGTTTTGTCGTCTTCTTCATCTTGTTTGGTCGATTCTGGGTGCCTCTCGTCTCTGTCACTCGCATCTTGCTCCTTGTCGCTAGCTTCGACATCGTCGTCTTCCTCATCGTCGCTGCTAATCTTTCGCCGTTTGGGACCGCGGCCGCCCTTCTTTACTTCATCATCTGACTCATATCCATTAAAGCGTTCGTCTTCGCTGTCGGATGCATCCAGAAACTCGTTGGCCCTTGTCGCAGCCATGATGTGTGATTTGCAGAGCACTATGTCGTATCGTATGCGCAACTTGGCTCGGAGCTCAGATGTTGTCGCAACAAAAAAAAAAAAAGTTCCAATCCTTATCGCGATAAGAGATTGTAGTATTGCAGTACCGGGGCACAGCGTATTAACGAATCCAGCAATGCTCTCATTAGTGAGCCCCCAAATATCGACCTACAAATTCCAAAAAACGACCTACATGATGTATCCCTAGTAAAAGTGGAGTACAAGTACAGGACCTCCGCAAAGCAGATGCTCGCACATAACTTCAACATAGGAATAATATTTTTTTCAAAAAGGAATTTCATGACATTACGCTAATACATAAATATACGAAGCGAATTTAAAAATAAAAAAATTTAGCACTCACATGGAATATATATAGTGTACTCACTCTCATGTAAAAGTACTTAGCTACTTATTTGTGGATTCTCTTTCCCAAACTTGCAGAAAAAGTGGAAATTTGGTTACTCAAATAGGCTTAGTTGTAGGTCTTTTTTTGGAATTTGTAGGTCGATATTTGGGGGCTCCTCATTAGTGTATCTAGGCGGCAATGCCTATTAACCTATATTGTCCAATTAATGGCTTAGAAATTTACATCCAAACCTCCCTCTCACGTGGAAAGAAACTTTGTACCTAACTAATTGCCTGCTAATCTGTTGTCCTGACTCCGATCCCTCGACGGAGCTCTCTTACGTACAATTAGCCACCAAAGTAATGTCTAGGCAAGGCTACCATCATTAGTATGGGGGCACTCATACTGCCTGATGTATGGCGGGGCAACGATATCGGTGACGTGGGGCAAATAATGACGGACGGGCAAGAACGGCTCTTCAGACCAGTGGACCAGTATCACCATTTCCCCTCTCCCTATCATCTCCATACCGACTTCATACCTTCAATAATTTCACGAGTGTTTCCCCTGTAAAGCTGCTTCATCAGATAAAACCGTCTCAAGAAGTACACTCTCACGAAGTCCACCATGTCTGTCGAGGTGATCAACACAATCTCTCCAAATACCAACGAGATTGTCATCACCCGCAATGGCGCCTCCCCTGCCGATCTGGAACTGCTCCCCAAGGTCGCCACTGAAGCTTTTCTGAAATTTCGCAACACGACCCTCAAGGAAAGGCAAGACATTGTCCGGAAATTCCTCGACGCATTGGATAAACGCCAGGATGACCTCGCCCTGGAACTGACCACCCAGATGGGTCGACCCATCGCTTATACGGCAAAAGAAGTCACCACTGCCATCAAGAGGGCAGAGTATCTCCTCAAACTTAGCTCTACAGTTTTACAGGATGTCGAGGGTGAGCCTGAGAAAGGGTTCAAACGCTTCATCCGAAGAGCACCCGTTGGCCCTGTTCTCATCATCTTCGCCTGGAATGTAAGTAATCCCGTCTCTCGCACTAGCCACTATTAATCGCGTAAATTTTTCTCTTTTAAAATTAACGTATCCGTGTCTCAAGTATCCTTATTTGATTCTCATCAATGCGTTGATTCCCGCAATCCTGGCTGGAAACAGCGTGATATTGAAGCCATCACCGCAAACACCAACTATTGTGGAACAAGTGGCCAAGCTATTTTCCGAGGCCGGCTTGCCCGATGGAGTTTTGCAATATTTCCACTGCGGCTCCCCTAGTGTCATGGAAACCATTGTGCGAGATCCCAAGATTGCCCTGGTCTGTTTCACGGGGTCCGTTGCCGGCGGTCTTGCCGTGCAAAAGGCTGCGGCCGACAGGATTGTCAACGTGAGCCTCGAATTGGGTGGCAAAGATCCCGCATACATCAGAGATGATGTAGATATCGATTGGGCTGCTGAGGAGATTGTTGACGGTGCCATCTTCAACTCTGGCCAAAGCTGCTGCTCCCTTGAACGCATCTACGTGCATGAAAATGTGCACGATGCCTTTGTCACGGCCGTTCAAAAGGTGCTCAAGGGATACAAGCTTGGAGATCCGTTTGACAAGTCGACTCATGTAGGACCCGTCATCTCTAAGCGTTCCAAGGAAACAATAGAGTCGCACATTCAGGACGCCTTGAAAAAGGGAGCCAAGGATGCTACGCCGGAAAACGAAAGCTTCGATAACCCCCCGCCCAAGGGCAACTTTGTGAAACCAACCCTGTTGACTGATGTGGATCACACAATGACTGTCATGACGGAAGAGACATTTGGGCCTGTGATTCCGGTCATGAAGGTAAAGGGTGACGATGAGGCCGTGAAGCTGATGAACGATAGCGAGTTTGGGCTCACGGCTAGCATCTGGACCAAGGATGTGGATCGAGGCTACGCGCTTTCAGAGCAGGTTGATGCTGGTACTGTCTTTGTCAACCGCTGCGATTTCCCCAGTCCGGTAAGTTCACGTTCACGGCGCGTGCACCCTAACAACACCATCCCCCCTTGCTCCCTTGTTGGCCCGTGGTCATATTGCACCCGACCGGGTCACAACCCTAGCAATCAAGCAATCAAGAAAATAAAATGCTTTGATGAACGGCCCCAGTGTGCTAACTGTACGACCAACAATATAGGACCTTGCGTGGACGGGATGGAAGAACTCGGGAAGAGGTCAGACACTTGGCAAGTTTGGCTTTGACGCATTTGTCAAGTCCAAGAGCTTTCACATCAAGGACTATCCGAAATAAGCGTCAAACGACGCCTTGTGGTACTGATCAATTTAGAAGAGTTACATACATAAAGAAAGAAAGAAAAGAGCGTTCAATACTATCACCCAATGAACCTAGTGCCAGCTGTGCCTCCGCACCAGCCCCAAAGATTAGCGAGAGATCTCCCTTTGAGCTCCTTTGAGCGTCGGAGCCGTGGGGCTTGTGATTGGTTCGCCTGCGACGAATAATGCGAGGATGGTCTATCGGACAAGGGTCCCAGGTTTTATCGTTCGTTTTCTCGTGAAGGGTCACCGCAGCATCTCAGACTCACATTTTCGTTCTGCATGAAAGGCGTCTCCACCGCCCGCCAACCCTAAATCCAATTCAAAGACGAACGGGTTCCAGTCTCTAATGCAACCGTGTGAGATGATGAGATGAAACAAGAATTCGTCGCCAAGGCAAGGAGGCCGCGAACGAATCGGCCAAGCCGCCGTTGACCCCATTCGTTCTGTACAAAAAGGAAGCAAACAATGGCCGTGCACGTCCGTTCGTTGCTCCGCCATGCTCCGCCCGTGGCATGATGGCCTCGTTGTCGTGGTTGTGCTTCTCGCCTACCGACAGGCTCATTACCCTGACGAATGTAACGGCATACGGCTTCTTGCGTGAGGGTAACAGGTAACAGCATCTGGAATGCCCATTCAGGTCTCGCACATTCCATATTAGGCCTTGGGCAAATGCACAGGTCTTGTTCCAAGCCGGCATGTGAGACAACCTCTGCACCTCTCCTAGTGTTGTCGCAGTCTGCGCGGGCGCGTGTTGTTTAATGAAACCCCATTCGACAAAGGCCCAAAAGCGGCACCGACCGAAGGGTTATCGAATAACGGTGCTGAGACACGCATAGCTGCCGATGTGATGTGTTATATATATATGGCCAGCACCGCTTCCGTCGGAAACGTGCTGAGCCTGTGAATCTCAAGCCGGACGCCTCCATTCATTCTGCATCTAGGCAGCTTAGGAGCTTCACCAGCCCACACACTCTTTTCTCCCCCCTTGTCCGTCCGACGGCAGTCCGCATTCACTCTTTTAATTTTATTTTATTTTTCCCTTCCACTTGTCTTGCCTTGCAGTTCGCTTTCGGCAGTTTGCAGCAATAGCCGTATTTAATTGTTTGTTCATCTTGAATTCTCTCATTAATAAAGGCTACACCGTCGGGGCCCAGCCGCTCGTATCTTCACCAACCCGACTTAATTCGTTTTACCAACATCAATTTATCACCCAACAGCATCTAGAAGAAAAAGAAAGACAGGGGAGAGAAAAAAGAAAAAAACTCAGACGATACTTTTATTATCTTTACCTTCATTTTTTTTTGTGTCAACAAATTTCTGTCAGCGCACTTCAACAAACAGCCACCGTCGTCGACGTCAGCCATCATCTTGGCTTCATCTTTTCTCTTTCTTTCTTCATCTCAAAAGCATTCACTCTCTATTGCATCTTGCTTTTCGATTTCTTGCTATTTTTATCATTTTTCATCTCGTTCCCCAATTTCATCCAGTCAATCAATTGCCTTCGCCTCGAGCGATGGCGAATTTGCCGAGAAGTGTTTCTCTGATCAACCTGGAGACGGAGAGCATTGGCGGGTGTTCCAACACGACTTACGCCACTTCCGAGATGCGTCTCAAGAACAATGTCAGGACTCTCTATGAGCGCATGCAGGCGGCTCTGCGTCATGGCAGGCGGAAGCAGAAACGTGGGCTGGAAATTGTATGTCCATTTGCCATGTTTCATTATTTACACGAGTTTTTGACTAACACTTGTTTTCCAGTCTGGGCCGTTTGGTCTCAAAAAGGAGCCCGTTCTGCTCCCCGGCATCTCGCAAGAAGAGTAAGGCACCCCGAGACACAACCACGCCATTGATCATTGATAATTTGTCTCTTTTTTAATCTGAACTTTTGTGCTGATACATTTTTGTCACAGGCTCTGTATCCTTCGAGAAAAGGCTGCCGCTAGTCGCATCGGTGTTGCTGAAGACTCCATGTTCCCCGATCCAACAGCCAGCCTGCCTCGGTCAATCCGTTCTCGCTCCCCCTACCGAAGCCCTTCGCCATTCTCCGTTGTCTCTGCCACTCAGCAGCAGCCCAACTAATTCAATGATTGGATGCAAATCTCATGAACGAACACCACAATATCATCATATCCATGATTAAGGACATTACGGATACTATTATCACTACTTTTTATCGTTATTGCTTTGGATAGTGATGCATTTCTCTCCTTATTTTCTTTTTCTTTTTCATCTTTTTTTCCCTTTCTTTCTCATGGGCATGGCAAACAAGGGACAAAAACAGATTGGCTAGATTGGCTAGATTGGATCGGTTTGGGATTGGACAGGTACTTAATTATGGGCTTTACAGGATAGATTGGGCGGGAACGGTTAGCAAGCGACGGGCAGGATAGATATTACAATGACGATTTCGTTTGGTCTAGACGAGAAAAAACAAACGAATATGGGAATGGCCTTGGTAATGATGAACGTGATTGAGAGGCAGAAAGGGGGATTAATGCGGAAAAGTCTCACTTAGTTAATGTAATGCAAAAGTTACGCAGGAGCAGAGAGATTAATTGTTTAATACAGTGATATGTGCATTTTTGTTTTGATTATGCTACTTCGCTCCCGTGTGTGCCAGAGTCATTTCGCTATGCTTTTTGTCTCAGGGTGGCACGGTTTTTGGTGTAATGAGATTTTGCCTGTGCAACATGACACGGACCATATACAGCTGCCTGCTGCAACCAAGGGATCAGAGTCTGTTGATCGATTTGGTATCTTCTATTTACTTCCTCTTTTTTTCTTTCATATGAGCTGTATTATAATAATGAAAAAGAAAAAAAGAACCTTTCATATCCCTCCTCTTTCTTTTGTTGTAAAGTGATCTACGGCTTCTCAGGAGACCTCGCCTGTCAAAGAGCGGAATAAGTCGACAACGCCCAGGGCTGAAGCAAGCTATAGCCACCCGTCGTACACGTCCAAGCTCTCCTGGCGAACCCCTTCCATCTCCCCCTTTACCCCCAAAAGCCTCACCTTTGCGTCTTTTTCGCGGCTCCAGGTGGCCAGGAAGTCCTGTACCTTGGCCAGCGTCTGGTCGTCATCCCGCATCAGCAGGGCGAGGGCATCGTAGCCGCCAGCACCAGGCACGACGCCGCCGTAGACGCCATCGAGGGCGCTGACGGCATCGATTAGCTCCGTTTGCGTGTCGGGCTCGATGGGAACGCCGCTCTCACGGCCCATCTGACGGATCAGCTCGCGGACCTGGCTGAGCTTGGTGGGGAGCTGGTCGAGGGCGCCGGCCTTGAGCGCGGCAGCCAGGTCCTCGTTCTTGGACTGGAGGTCGTTCCAGAAGCCTGTAGAGTGCTGCTCGTCTTGGCTGCGCCACGAGAGGACCTTTTTCACCATGCTGACGGTTTGGCTGCCGCAATCGACGTCGCACATGCGTAGGACCAGCCCTGGTGGCACGGTGACACCATCGTCTTGCACTTCGACGTCCCACTCTTGGCCATCTACGACTGCGAGGAGCTTATCGCTGAATCCAGGGGCTCCGGGCTCGGGCAGCACACTCAAGATGGCGGGTGAAAACCTGCGGTAGGTGCAGGACCCATACACGGCGGCAGCGACATCGAAGCCCGAGCCGACCTTGCCCTGGGCGGCACAGTGCGCGGCCTGGGCGAGGTTGTGAAGCGTCTGCTTGCCCTGCTTGGAGGAGAGGTCAAAGATGCTGGTGGGCAAGTAGTGAGTGAGCAAGGAGGCAGTGAGGGAGGTGACGAGAGCGGCGGAGGAGCCGAGGCCAGTCTTGTTGGCCCCCTGAAGAGTGACGGGGAACTTGGCGAACCGGCCAGACGAGGAAGCGTGAGAGTGGGAGTAGTAGTCGTTGTCGGCAAGGATGATGATGCGTGAAGACTTGATGGCGCTGTGAGAGCGCTTGGATGAGACAACGGCGTCGATGTAGGTGAGGGCGTAGCTCAGCGTCGTCTCAACGAAGGGGTTGGCTGAGATGGTGGGGCCGCTGAGATGAGGAACCAAGACACGGCAAATGTCAGTAAGAGTAGAGTTCAAAAACAAGGCCGTTTTCGAACAAGGACAAGAAGGATTTTGCATGCCTTGGAACAGGCAGAAGAGACGGAAATTTCCTTTTAATTGAATTGAGAGACCTTGTCTCATTGCCAGAGGGAACTGGGACGTCTTGTCGTGTTTTGCTCTCCCTAGTGTTCCGCTTCCGGGAGCAACGTTTTCATTCCCGAGAAACAGAAACAAGGAACAGAAACAAAAAGGGTCCTCTGTCTTCTCGAGTTTCTCAACCAGAGTGAACCCCAAAACGGCGATAAAAATAGCAAAGGAAAACAACAACAACAATAACAGCAGGAGCAGCAAAAACAATAATATTAATACTCACACCTGCAGCTGGGTCACCTTGATGCCCCCCTTTTCCGGCGCAAGGTGGTAGCCGTAGCGCCACTGCGCGTCTTGGAACTGCGGGCTGTCGACGACAATTTCGTTGAGCTGAACGCCCTCGGTTGTGATGATCTCGCCAGCGATAACATTGATGCGCGCGCTCAGCCCCAGCACCAGGCCTGTGTATGCGCGATCCAGCACCAGGTAGCCGCCAGCTAGGAGGACTTTGCCTGGCGCAGAGACGGCGACGGAGGCGTTTGCGGTGGGCATTTTGTGTATTTCTTTGGTGAATGAACAGAGAAACAGATGAAATAGATGAGCTCTAAGCAATTAGAGGCGTATACAGGATGAGCGAGATGAGTTGGCGTCGCAATATATATGCAGGTTATATATATTAAGAGCTGACAAGGCTCTGGCGATGTAACGGTGGCGGAAACGAGGCTGGCAAGGAGAAAGCGCTCAATTGAACGGCAAAGACTATTAGATATCAGATAAGGAAGATGTGAACAGGATGACCGATGTATACTGGTCAATCTCTTCACTCGCTTGTGTCGTTGAAGTCGACGCTGACAGAAGACTTGAATCTTCTGAGGTTCTAAAATGGAGCGGGGCGTGAGGAATGCCTCGCAGGACAGAGTGCAAACAACCACCCCGTATTCGTATTCGCACTGTCGCGAATCTAATAGCAATCATAATGAATCTACGATGCATTTACATATAGCTCTCACTCTTTCACCGATAGACACAAAATCGTTGCTTTGCAATAGGCATTGTTTCATTTCGCTGCCTTTGGCGCTTTCTCCTTTATATACCCATTCCTTCTTCTTTGATATGATACACGGTAGCAGAAAATCCAGTCCAGTAGAGTAGTAATAAAGGCACAATTCCCTTGAACCCTTTATATACCATCCCAAACAATCCCAATAGAACACCCAATATTCTGCTACTACCGTTGTGGCCATGGCCTTGGCCTATGCCGAGTGGAGATTTGTCTATCAGCGGCTCTCAGAGCCCGCAATCCTTCCGTCCTTTCTTTCGCATCACCCAAAACCCAATTAACCAAAATGCCTTCTTTTTTTGTATATGCAAATCATGTACCCATCCGCCGCCTGAAAACGCCGTGCCATCCTGTAGCCACAGAATAAAACAGGATGAAATGGAATTCAAAAACACCACGCAGAGCCTCTGATATTAGGACGACACCCCAATACAAACACCGTCCAACCTGCATGCCAAAGGGGTATCAAAACAAGTCGAGGCTTAAAACACGAATGAGAGAAAACAAAATCAAAAAACAAATGAAAAGACAAAGAAAATCAAGAGACAAGACGTCGCTGTAGCAAAACTGGAAAAGAAGATGTTGGCTGTATGATGTGGTGTGTACCAAATCACTCCAAGCTAGCCTCCTGGCCTCCGCCGAGCAGCTCAAGAACCTTGTTGACCACAGCGCTGGGGTATCCGCGAGTAAGCATCTCTCCCACGACTGCCTTTGCTTCCTCTCGCTGCTCGACTGCAAGGAAGGCTCGTGTCATGGCCTCATACGTGCTGGGCTCGCGCTTCTCACGAGGCACGGCATCGTAGATGGCCTGGGCCTTTTCGATCTTCTTCTCTGCGGCCCAACCATGGATCAGAGTGTTGGCAATGTAGGGCGTGAGCTCCACCTTCTTGCTTCGCATCTCTGCAAGAACTGTCTCCGTTTCGGCAACCCGGTGGTTGGCTACCATGGCCTCGAACAGTGCCTGGTAGATGCTGGCGTTGACAGGGACCAGGTATTGCTCTACAACTGAATCGAAGACCTTTCGTGCGCCTTCCATGTCGTGTAGAACGCAACCCCTGGCGTGGATGAGCGACGCATAATGCACCGACTCAGGTCGCTGGCCAGCCGCGCGCATCTCCTCCAGTACTTGTTCAGCGGCCTCCAGGTCTACCGCCTCCAAAGTAGCGTGCGTGTCGATCAGAAGCTTGTAAGTGTGAGAGGTGGGGGCAATGCCCTTGGACATCATACGGTTGTAATAGGCAAGGACCTTGGACTTGTCTCGCTTTGTCGTCAGGAAGAACTGCATCATGCTGTTATAGGGTGCCGGTCTCGCCTTGTAGTTGGGCATGGCCTCCATCTCATCAAAGAGCTCTTCCGCAAACTTCTCGTCACTGACACGGCACAGGGCGTTGACAATGGTGCCGTATGTTACCGAAGTTGGCTTGATGCCAAGCGCCCTCATCTCCGCAAAGTAGAAGAGACAGTCATCAATGCGACGAGCCTTGCCCAGCTTACCGATCAGTGCGTTGTACAAGAAAGAACTAGGCTCGACACCCTCGGTCTTAGCGCGCAAGAAAATGCGAACTGCTTCCGAGGCCTCGTCAAATGTCTTGGTGGAATCCTTCAACGTGGTGATGTACAGCCCAAAGGTGTTCGCAGAAGGCGTGGCACCCATTTCAAGCAGTTCTTGGTGGTACTGCTCAGCCCGTCCGCGGTTACCCAGCGTCAGGCAAGCGCCAACCATTGCGTCCAGAATCGAAGACCAGCCATAACGGACTACAGCATTGTGAGCAATCGGGGGAACGTCAGTGCGAGCCATGGCAAGAACATCCTGGCAGAGATCCATCTTGCTCTCGCGAGCAGCGGCGGAAATCAGCTTTGCATACGTGATGTACCGGGGGTGTCTGCCAGCTCGTCGCATGTTTCGGAATCGGTTGAGAGCTTCGTTGAGACGAGGACCCTTGCGGCCATGGCTACCTTCCAAGTCATCGGCGATCAAAGAGGAGCCCTTGAAGTCGGTGTTGTGAGCATATGGGTCGTAGTTGTCCTCGTAGCTAGAGACCGTGGGGGTAGACAAGTAGGGAGAAATGCTATGGGCCTGTGAGGGGACTGTCGACATCTGAGAGGCCAGCTCACGGGTGTCCACAATACCACGGGATTCCATGTACCGGGCAATGAAGTCGGAACCCTCATCGATCTCTTCGGCAAGCTGGAGGCGCATTTCGGACTCGGTGGCTCGGATTCTTTGGAACATCATCTCCGACTGCGCCAAGCCCTCTGCAACTTGGCCGGAACCGATAAGTGAAACGGCGTACATGGCAGTAGGCTCAATGAAGGCAGCCGTGGCATGCATCTCGGGGTTGGACAGAACATGCCAGTACTTGGAAGCCGAGGCAACGTCGCCGAGCCGCACGCTCATGGCGAGAAGAGCAATCGACGGGGTAGCGATGTCTTGAAGATTTGCCGCCTGAATGTTGGCGTAAGCTTCGATCGCTGTAGTGGCATCGTTGCCATCAGCAGCAATCGTGGCAATCTTCATCATGGCTTGGTCCCGGGCGCTAGCATTAAGAGATTGGGCCCACTGAAGTGCCTCTTGGAAGACACCCCTTGTGATGAATCCCTTGATAAATCCGAGGTCGACCAAGGCATCTTTCATGTCGGTAACGGAGACGCCATATTCGTCCACTATCTTCTTGAAAAACTTCATTGCGCCCTCAATCTTATCGGAGATGACATAGGCGTTGATGACCGAGGCATACACTTGGGCGTCCAATCGATCGCCGAGCGCAGAGCTTCCGGCATCGTGAGAGATGGCCAGGCTACGGTACTCGTTGTAGCACTCCACAGCGCTGATGAGGTTTCCGGACTTGGCATATGCGGTGATCATGGTGGGGAAGACATCGGCTGAAGGAACGATCTCGCTGAGCTCCATGTGCTCATAGAATCGCAGCATATCCGACACTCGGCCGACCTGAGCGCAGGCTGAGATCAGCTGTCGATACGTCTCTGCCGAATACGAAACTTTGCCAGCGTCGAAGGACATGTCAAACAGCTTGACAGCCAGATCGAGGCGCTCATCCTCACACAAGATGGCGTGCTCCAGCTCGTGTGAGGCAAACATGAATTTGCCGGGCTCGTCCATTCCACCATATCGCAGTCGCTTTTCCTCAAGAAGTGACTTCATTTCTGAGACCTCGAGAGAACGCGAAGAAAGCATGTTGACAAGGATGTTGAAAGTTTGGCCATCAGGGGACACTCGCCGGCGCATCATATCGGCATACACATCTAGAGCCTTGGAGACGACCTCGCTTCGCTGGCTAGGCAGGTGGATTGCGGCCAACAGCAAAGCGTTGTAGGCACTGGCAATGGGCTGGACGCCAGTGGCCAGCATGGCCTCGAAAACGGCTGGGATCTCAGCATACCGGGCAGCATCCGACAGCTTCTCTAGATGCTCGGCATACGACTGAGATTGCTCTTGAACAGACGGGGAGCCCGTGCGGGAAATGCGAACTGTGCCTTGCGATGTTTCCACCGCAGGCGCAGGTGTGCGCGCACGTGAATGAGGGGCAGAAAGGGAGAGACCTGCAGCGGCAGCTTTTTCGACAGCCGCTTGGAGAGTCCGCGCCTGAATTTCCTTCTCTAGAGCAGCATCGATGTGTGCAAGAGCTGCCTCTTCTTCCGCCGACATCAGGTGTTGAGATTCCACAATCTCATTGTTGGCTTCGGCCGCAGCGGCCTGCTCAGCAGCTTCCGCGCTGACCTCGACCCCATTCTCACCGGCGAGAACCGATGACGCATTGGGCTTCCACTCGATGCGCTTGGGGAAATCGAATTGTGTCCACTCGTTATCTTCTTCCTCTCCGGCGGCCTGCTGCTTCTGCAGGGCCTCGAAGTAGGCATCTAAACCTCCATGGTTCGAGACATGACGGTGCTCGGCTGGGAGCCCGGATGATAACTTCTCGTTATGGAAGGCAGAATAGAGAGGAAAGGCCGAGGCACGACTGGACCGGTTCGGCTGTCGTCGAAAGACAGGGCGATTCTGTGAGTTGAGGACGTGAGGGTGAGTAGCAGCTACGACGGATTGTGCGTAGCCGTGGGCGGTAACGGATTTGGCGAATGTAGATCCTTGACGGATAAAATTCGAGTACAGCGAGGAGTAGATGGGCATTTAGATAGCGGGAGGTATAGACTATGAGACGGGCAGATTAGTTGCGAGTTCACGGGACCGGAGTGCGAGGATGAAAGAGGCATGATATTGCAAAGGGGTATTTCAATATTGCAGAGAATTGGATACTCCCAATAACAACAGAGTGAGACAAAAGGTGATACATGTTTTGCCTGGGCTCATCACGGGTGCAACTCGGTGACGGCGCACACGGATCGCATTGAAGCGTGGGAGGCAAAAGCAAAAATCGGGGCCAAGACTTACGGGGGAGAAAAAGATAGTGGGCGATTGCAGGTTCATTTGACAGCCGTGAAAGCCGTCAAACAAACGCGCTATGTAAATTGAAAAAATGGTTGGGGAGAAAAAAGGAAGATGAGAATGGAAGAAGAAAAAGAAAACCGAAAGTCAAGGGCTGGGACGAAAAGAAAGGGTCCAGCCTCGACTATCTTCTTTTTTTCCTGATCGTTTGTGTGCGCTGACTTGAGATGTAAAAAAAAGAGAGAGAAAATAAGGCCGGGAAAAAATGGCGGGGGCCCGTGCCGGCCTTATTCTCTCGGGCCAGGGCTGCGCTGAAGTGCCGTGAAGGATGGAGGAGGCCGCTAAAGGGCCAGCGACAGCACCTACGTAAACAGCGCGAGTGGAGGCATTAAGCCGCCTAGAAG